CTGGAATGTTTTCTATAGATTGTGAATATCCTACAAAATCGAAAATAACACTTGCACGCCTTTGAAGGAATAACACTTGATAGAATCAATGTCTTCAAGTTAGTGAAGCCATCTCCATCTAACTCACTCACAAGATTCTTCAATATCTTGGCGTCTTCAATATGAAGATGGTAAGTTCTCTTCATCCACGATTTAATTTTGGGTTGCAAAAGCATACTTGCCTCAATACCGTATGAAAGACTCAAACTCCTTGTGAAACGAAGATCTTCAATTCTGCGTAGTGGTGAATTGTAGTTCTGATGATTTGAAATTTTTCAAGACTCTCGAGGCACGGTGCATGTAATATTTGCATCAAAATCTGAGTATCGTGTGTGGAAATTGGAAAAGTAGGAAGAGAAGTCAATGAACTTAGATCTTCAATTTTGTACCTTTGGTCTTCACCTATTGGAATGTAATCTCCCAAGTACAGCTCTTCCAGTTGCTTCATACCTGACAAAACACTGGGTATAAATGGACAGGATAATTCCCAAAACCTCAAATCAAGTGACTTTAGGTTTCTAAGATTCACCAATTCAATGGGAAAATAATCACTGAAATATGAATGATAGAAAGAAAGAATTTCCAACTTTAGACTCCCGATCATTGACAATTCTTGTATTTTACAGCCAGTCAAGCACAAAGTTCAAAGACCTGTCAAACACTTCGATTGACGATGGAATCTGAATGTTCATCAATTTCAGTTCCAGAACTCTTGAGTTCCTTCATATCTTTGAAAAAATCTTTGGAACTGTTATGCTCTCCGAAATCGCGACATATCCGATATTTCAACCCACTCTGAGCTCCTTCATATCTTTGAAAAAATCTTTGTCGTCCTACTCACCTTTTGTAGTCCTTCGTGAGATAGGCCATGGTTTCTGATAGGATCATATTAGACAGTCGAGAATTACAAGAGAATACCCCTGTGTTTCTATCTTTCCAGCAGAACATAGAGTAAGAGGGAGCTGTTCATGAATGCCTTCCATGTGTGGTTAAAAATGAGTTTAGGGGAAAATGTGTTCTAAAGAATGGCCACGTATGGTGATAATGGGCATCCGTGTAAACGAGTAATCAACCCAGTTTTCTCCCCGTTGATCAGAAAGGAGAATCTAGCAGTTGACATGCATTCGTGTGCCATAAATTTCAGTGCTTAATTTTTCATTCAAAACTTCTTGAACGGAGGAATGAAGTGGCTGATGTCCATATCTTCAAGAAGGTATAAAACTTGATGACCTGATCTTTTATCTTACCTTCTACTTTCAAGATTATTTAAAGATACTGCATTTATTTAAGAGTATCCATGTATCTCCATTTTTTCTATTAGAAGGAAAAATACTTCGAAGGTGAACCAATTTCGATAAAAAAGTTCTGATGGAGCTGGAATTCTTGACAGTATTGAACTAGAATATATATATTTTTTTGCTCAATGTCTTAATTTAAGGTACCATATAGCTTTCATTTCTATTTGATGGTACAACATTAACACTCCTAATGATGCTTTAGAAATTTATGGGGTTTCTAGAGATTCCTCCAGATAAAAATCCAAGCTTTGAAGCCTTGGTGGAGGTGTTGATAAAACACATATTTTAACTAACAATTTTTTGTGAAGGGTGTGAATTATTGGGGTTCGATGGACATGAGGTGGGGAGGTGGTGGGAATTAATCTCGATGAAATGGTTGTTTTTCTTTTTCCCTTTTTTTCCTCCAATTTCTTCCTTTATACTTATTTTCTTTACGAATGTGTTGTTTGGCATATGCTCATTTGAGAACAGTTTGTGAATTGGGCGACATTTGACAGTATGTTCAACTTAAAGAACAATTTTACGATGTGATTATGTCTTTGTTAAGTTTCAAAGAAAGGAGCCCCAAAAGTGCCAAAAATGACGAGGGTGACCTACATATAGATGTCTATTTAAAAATGTTAAATTGAGTTTCAAGTTACAAAAAGGACAAGCAAGGAACGATAAAACAACTTATTTATTTAGAAATTATGTTTGCGTTCACTTCATTCGTAGAACGGTAGGTGACTTTGGGATGCATCAGTAATTTACCTATTTTATTCTCTAATCTTCACTTCGTCGTCATAGTTGGGGTAAAACACTATAAAAACCATTAGAAACATTATGGAATATGAAAAACAACACAAAATGTGAGGCTAGTAATAAAAGTTCAGAAACAAAAAGACCAATGAGGGCATAAGTCAACGGCCTTGAAAAAGTTCAAAACACCCGAGCTAATATGTAAAAAAAAAGAAAAAGAAAAAATAAAAAGAAATAAGGAGTCTATGGCTTGAATGGATCAATAACAATGGATTGGTAAACCTTCAGAGCGGACAAAGATTAGCAGAGCATGTTCGTGCTGTCAAGTTGGTAATTTATCTTACATCTCTCTCCCTCTCTAAACATAAGGATTCCTGCAACGACTAAGCTTATGTTTGTAATTTTCTTACTTCTCCCCCTCCCAAAGCCTAATCATAATATATGTATTCCTAACACCCCACCCCGTCAACCCAACCCAACTCAAACCAACCCACCCACCGACCCACATTGGGTCTAGGTCGAGGTCCTAAATTTTGATGGTGTATTAATTAAATAAAAGGATGATACAAGCATTGACCTTGAATTTGATGTTGCTTTTAAGAGTTTTCCTTCTTTCGTAATAATTCTTTTTTCTCAACGTAAAATTGAAATTTCAAATTCTAATAGTTTAACTTGTGAACTAAAAAAGTCAGATAAAAATTAAAATCTCAAATCATAGATTTTCACAAAATCCATCTTATTTTCATTCAATTGCTACAAGATCAACAATTTCATAAGACATTCTACTTCATTTTAGTCTGCAACAAAAAATTCCATCAAGAGTTCAAAATAGGGTCGACTCAAAGAATTTTGAGGTCCAAGGCGATAAAATATTATGAGGTCCCTAAATATAATTTTTTTTATTAGACAAATGTAACAATCTGTTTAACATCAATCATGGTCGATTAAAACATAGTTTCTTGTGATAAAGAACATTATACATATGACACTCAATCACTATTTGATTCGTTCGAGAATCAATTCTCGCATTCAAGATATAGAACTAAATCCTTCTGAAAGCCAGTAAAGTATGTATGTCGCGATTACCATTTATTGCCAAAAATATCCTATATTTAAAAAGTAAAAAAATTCAAAAGCAACAATCAAATCTAAAGAACACAAGTTAACATTGAATAATTAAAAAAAATTCATTATTGGTATTGGGACAACCTTCTACTTCATTTGCAATGCTACATCTTCTAGAAAATTTATAAACATCTTCAAGAAAATATTTAATGCAAGAAAATTCTATAAATTTTCTGTACATAAAACGGTCATTTTTTACTTTTAATTTTTTTGAGACCCAAAGCCACTGCCTTAGTAGCTTGGGCCAGAAATGAGTGTGAATGTGTAGATGGAAACGAATTTGAAAAAAAATAAATTTTAAAAAATAGGGCCAAACGGGGAATTAATATGCTCAACAATTTGTGTATTAAATGAATAGAAGATGTGTTACACACGTAAATGAAAATGAAATAGGAACACAACTCACGATGGATAGAAGATGTGTTACACACGTCTTGTATAACCTTCAAATTTCCAATTAATTTTCATGAATATCAAAAAATAAATATAAAAACTCATCAATTCAAATAAGATATGGATAACTTCTCAGGATAATCTTAAAACATTGACAAACAACTCTTTTTTCGATAGCTTATGATTATAATAATTTAATTTATGTCAAGCCATTACGTTGTAATTAGTAGTGGTTACGTCGGATGCGTTAACAAAACAAAAGGTTTATTATTTCAGATAATTTGAATTTTCTGCACATTCATTAAATATTGTATTGTTTTATTTAAAAGCAAAATACATAGGTGTACTTAGAAATTTCTTCTAGTCAAGAATTTATTTTAATTCAAAAGTTTGAGAAAATGAAAAAGAAAAAAAGTAAATATTTGTTTTACCTACCCTTATTTAGAAAAATTACAAGTGAGGTATAATGAGATCGACATGTAGATTTAAATATTTTGCTAAGAAACTCAAGAACCTTGAGGTTGTATTGGACTTGGGGAAGGAAATTATCGAGAGAAATTTACAATTCACGATCGAGTCATGCTACTTGTACAAAGATAGGTTGCAAAATTGGTTTAAATTACGATATTTTCTCTAATTCTTCGACGAATTCTCAATATTTACATTTTGAATCAACGAATATAAATGTCAAGTATTCGGGCTCAAATTAATGAATAATTAAAAAATTAAATTCCCGATATTTAATGCGAATCAACGTATATTTTAGGATTGTGCTTGTTTGTTTCTTATTTATCACTTTAGCCTACATATCAGAGCAAAATCACATTCGTGATAGAATCGGGTTTTTGGTTCCTATTTGAAGGTTATACAAGACGTGTGTAACACATCTTCTATCCATCGTGAGTTGTGTTCCTATTTCATTTTCATTTACTTGTGTAACACATCTTCTATCCATCCTGGAATGGAATGCACGGAAGAGGGACTAGAACTAATTGAGGGCAGGGGACTATACGAGGGAATATATTAATTAAGATTCAACGCATAATCAATTATTGAACATTAAAATAGCCGAAAGCTTAAATTAAAGCACTCATAATATATCAGATAAGAGTAAGAATACTTATTACACGACTTTCAATAATTTAATCAGCAGAATTCAAATGGATATTTTATAGATAAGAAATGATTTCATCAGAATTTATACCTAGGAAATAAGGAACTTCATATTTCTCAAGTAAATTTTATTTGTTACAAACTTGATCCTCCTCTGCCAACCCGCCTGCGAAACAAAGAATTTTAATAAATAAATAAATAGATAGATAGATAGTGTAAAAGCAAATGTAGCATTAGAGTAATATCAAGATGTAAAATAGGAATCGAGAACACATATATACCTGCGTTATCCAACTAATCGGAAATATCAAGCTTTGGTGCACTTACTGGCCATGGAATCAATTTTGGCATCATAGGGCAATTTTCAATTCTCAGAATATTCAATAAAGGGAACACAAGATCACAGTTCTGAGAGCAAAACATTTGAATACTTGAAAGATCCTTGAGTTCTAGAGAGTTCAACTTAGGAAACTCAATTCTGGTTTTCATTGCTTCAACTCTTTTGATCTCTGAAGTGCCTTCTTCTTCTTCTTCTTCTTCTTCTTTTCCGACAATCGCTTTAATTGATTCACATTTTGAAACCATTAGATATTCCAGAGCCACAAGAGAATTGGCCATTGAAGGTGAGAATAAGTATCTTAAGCTCTCACAACGCATGACATTAAGATCTTTCAAATTTTGGAAGACGCGAATTCCTTTTGGAACCATCCTTGTAATGTGCACCAATTTTGGTAGAAACCTCAGTGTCAAAAATGTTAATCGACCAAGCACATTAATTTCTGCATCATCATTAGTGACCTTCATACCCTCAAAGTCAAACAATACTTCAAGTGCTTCACAATCATTCAATTGAAGATCTTCAAGATTTTGCAGTAACTGAATTGAATCAGATTCTGCAATGGTCAGCAATTCATCACAATGCGACACCCATATGTCTTTTAGTTTAGGCAGAGATGTTTCCTTGCCTAGTAGCTTTACTATACAATCCAACATTTCAACATGCAACGACTCCATGTTGGGAAAGTTGACCTGCGAAGTTCAATTGAATTAGTTGGGAAAGTCAGCCAAAATTTATCCATTATGCTATCTATATAAATGAATTGCGGAAAGCTACGTCATTCTATAGAAATTGTTTATTTGTATTACAAGACACATTAATTGTGCTGTTGACTAAATAGAAATAAAGCTGAATTTCTCCTTTCATTATTACCCAATTTAATCTTTTTATTTTAAAGTTTATATGGTTAATGATTTCCTATTCTCTCAATTCTTAATTAAGACTACAGTTCTACAAAATGTTTTTGTAATTTGTATGTAGTTAATTGGAAGCCATAATTATTAACTTAAAATAAAAGACAATCTATAAGTTATTTTTGTGCTACAATTTCCAAAATTTGTCTTATTCTTCAGATTTGATACAGATGAACTAAACACACTTTATAACAAATAAGGACTCTTGGATGCACATAAAAGGAAAGTTGAATACCATACCTGATTCTGATTGAAAAATATTTGATGAGCAACGCCGCTATTTGATTGAGATGTGAAGCTCTTAAATCTTCTCAAACCTTCCAGGCTGACTTTTTTCAGTTTTGGAAACTCAAGCATTTTGCAAGCTTTGGTAACTTCATTTTCTCGTGCGTCCGTTGAAACAACTTCCTCTAACATCCAACAATATCTTATGTATAGACTTTGGAGATTTACCAAGCCGTTTGCAACTGACTCCCGAAACAAGCTTCTAATTGTGTCACAATCACTTATCTCCACACTCGTAAGGTTACAGAACAATTGAGGTTTGATGACACCCCTTGGAAGATTTCCATTGCATATCTCTATTAACTTGGGTAAATGATCCAATTCGAGAGACTCCAATTTACCGAAGGTGCCATTTGGAATAGAGTTGGTGGCATCAATAAGATACTCGAAATCACCACTTGATAGAATAAGTGTCTTCAAATTAATGAAACCATTTTCATCTAACTCACTCACAACATTCTTCAATATCTTGGCGTCTTCACCTTCTATTGGAATGTAACGTCCCAAGCACAGCTCTTCCAGTTTCTTCATACCCGACAAAACACCAGGTCGAAGTGGACAGGACGACTCGTAAAACCTCAAATCAAGTGACCTTAGGTTGCAAAGATTCGCTAACTCAATGGGCGAATTATTATTGAGAGAAGAATCATAGAAAGAGAGAATTTCCAACTTTAGGCTCTCAATCATTGATAATTGAGAATGTATTCTGCAGTCAATCAAGCTCAGAGTTCGAAGACCCAATTTGATTGATGATGGAATTTGAATGTACATCCTTTCCAATTCAAGAACTCTGAGATCTTTCATATCTTTGAAAAATTCTTCGGAAATTTTACATTCTCCCCACTCGCGACATATCACCCGTAACAACTTAACGTTCCGATATTTCAACCCGCTTGGAAGCTGATCCAGCTCATCAAATGTAATTGAGATGGCAATGCACGATTCATGAGCATCATGTTCTGGCCACTCTTTCAAACCAGCATGTTTCACCAGATATCCACCTTTTTCTTCCCTTGCCATATGTAAGCAAAAATCTCTGATAACATCATGCAATTTCACCGCGTCTTCCTCCATACCTCGTTGCAATAAATTACAACTTTTCAGATTATTCGCAATTGTCTTTGCTCGGTCTCGAGTTTCGCATAGTGTCTCGGTTTCTTTAAACAACTCTAGCCCCCTTGCATATCTAACCAAATTTTCAATTGGAATACTTTCATCTTCAGCGAATAGAGAACAGAGTAAAAGCAAGTCCCGCTCTTCATTACTTACCAAACAGTCGTAGCTCAATCTTATACTTTTGTACACGATATCGTCCATTCCTTCAAGATTGGTAGCAATAGACATCTTTAGCTGTCGAAGTGCATCTTTCCATTCATATACGGCCTTTTTGTCTTTTAGTGCACTGCCAACAACCTCTAATGCAAGAGGTAGACGTCCACATTCATTTGCAACTTCTTTGGCTAAGCTTACGAGTTCAACATCAGTTTCATCATCAGAAATCCCTGCCTTAACCGTGAAAAGTTGCCATCCTTCTTCTTTACTCAAAACTTCGATTTTGAATTTCTTGGCTTCCATTTTAACACACGTTTCTTCTCTTCGCGTCGTAAACATAATTTTCAACCTGTTTTGACCATTTGGAGATGGAATTCCTATAGTTCCCAAATCAATTTTTTTCCACAAATCGTCTAATACTACAAGAATGCTCCTGTCATTGTTAAGTCTTTCATGAAGTAGTCCAGCTCTCACGCTAGTTGTCTTATCTTCAATTTTTAGATCAAGCGCTTCAGCGAGTTGATCTTGAATTTTGTTTATGTCTGGATCGTTAGATACAACTGCAAATGCAGTCTCGTCAAATAATTTCTCAACTTTGACTTCATTTACTATTTCCTTTGCCATTGTTGTCTTACCAACTCCAGGCATGCCATAGATCCCAATTATGCCGATCTCTTTGTCCTTTAGAGCTTCCTGGATTTTCTTCTTAGTTGATAACCTTGTTTCGAAACCCTCGTGGGAAGTTAGGTTCAACAGTTGCACCGACGATCGAGGATCGCTCACCGTCTCAAATGTACCTTCCAGTTTGAGCTTATCAGCCTCAATAGACTTCTTCGTGGCTCTCCTGCTTGTTAAGTAACGGGACTTCAAATTTGGACATCTATTGAATAGACACCGCATTTCAGAACTTTGTACGCCGTTCAAAACTTCGTCGGCTTTTTCCTTTAAGTCATCGACCTTTAGCAACCATGCCGAAACATCTTCCCTGGGGATTTCAGCATTGCTTTCGGCGGCATGAACCTGTCGTTTCACGGCATTTCTCTTATTTTCAAGTTCTCCAACTTTAATCCGCAAATTCTGAATGTTTCTGTTGTAGAAGAACAAGTACTTGATTTGGCGCAAAACTGGATCGACTGTGTATTCTGCAAGCTTCCCAACAATGGAAAATGCTATGCCCTCTGCCATTATCGGATTCTTTTCCTTTTTGTCTTACCTTTTACTTTGGATGAGTTTCCTTGGTTGCTAGTGATGATTATCTCTACAGAGTTATTGAGAAAATTACAATAAGAGAACATCAATAATTGTAAAATCTTAGCATTCTCTACAGTAAATTAAATGAGAAAACAGGAACAATCCATTGTTTTGCATTCGAAATATCAAATCACAAATTGGTAGCCCATAAAACAAAATAAATTTTTTATAGATTTTCATTTGACTTTAACATACTTTTATTGGAAAGAATAAAAATTTATACGAAACGTCTATATAAATTATTGCAAATATTTTATTTTATTGAAATTATTTATTTTAAAAGTACAATTTGTTACTATTTGAAATCAATACTTGCATGATAAAATAATACGTTTTAAAAATATTAGTAATCTCAATTCGAAAAATAAATAAGAAATATAAGAAAGGCATCAATACTCGTGGATAAAAGAAAAAATAAGTTTCTCACTACGCTACAAAAAGAAAAGGAAACAAAAAACAGACCATGGATAAAATTTAAAAACATATAGTACAAAAAATTAATATTTATCATGACAAACTAGCAGAAAGTTATTTTTTGAAAGTTATTAAGCCAACAATAAACCAATATAAGAGAATTTAATTGCAAATCAATCTATTTTAATAAAATCTCATAAGAATTTAAGTGACAAATTGATCTTTTTCAAAGAAAATTGAGAGAGACAATGAAAAAGAATAGAGAGAGGAAAAAAAAAAAGAAATTGTAAGATTTTTTAATTGTATTTTCTATGTAAAAGTTAGTAAGTTGAGAATTTTGTAAGTCATTATAAGTTATTAATATTTTGAATACCCCGTGAGTTTTAAGGACTTTAAAGTTTTAATTTAATACTCCATCATTTTTCAAGATTTTAAAAGTCTATGAAAAACGACATTGAATACACTTAGATATTTTAAATATGTAAAAGTATTTAAAAGTCTCAATCTTCTTATTTTCTTTATAATTTTGTTTAGCTATGAGTTCTTGGTGCATTTTTGCACTGATCGGGTCACTATCCAGGATCAATAGATACTTCGTTCAATAAGAATGACAAAAGGACGGTACGAGAATTAAAAGATTCGGTATGGATAGAGCAATTCGAGGCACACAGACAATGTTTTCATCCCCATCCCATTTACTATTTTGGTCGGGATAATACGGGTTGAGTAGAACAGAATTTTATAATCCGTATCGTTCAAAGGGAAGATTATTGAAAAAAATGAGAACAAAGTTTCAAATCGATTAAGAGCATGTTTGAGCCCCATTAAAATGTTAAGAATGCATTTTGGAATAATAGACTGATGAAGAATATATAATTAAAAAATAAGAAAAATTTTTAAGTTTTGCATGTAATATTATTTTATTGAAAAATGTGTGATTGGATAAAATATATATAATTTGAAAAAAATAAAAATTAAACAAGGACTAAATATGTAGTAATGATAAGTTTATAAGTGACAGAGACAGAAACTCAAGAGTGACTTCAACCCGAAAAGATAAAGAATAAATAATTCTCGATAAATAGTCATCTTCCATGGTTATTATTCAAAAACCTGCTTTTGTGATGAAAGCAGGCTAAAAAATCAGTAAACTAAAAATGGATAATTAAAAAGAAAATTTAAACAGGTACAAATATATAATTTTTTGTAAATTAAAATGTATATATGTAAGTATGGGTGAGAAACATTCGGTTTCCCCTTTCGTCCCTATAGTTTTAGTTTTTGGTCAACAATGCCCTTATTCATTCTTCATGATTGACATTAAATCAAGCATTAAATTTTTTGTGGTTTACTTTTTTATGTTTATTATTCTAGCAATATTTAACTTTTAGACTCATTTTTTTTTAAAAACATTAATTCAAATAAAAAATTAAACTTAAAAGAACTGAAAGTTCACGTTATAAATGTATATAATTTAAGAGGGAAATGTGTTTTTGATTAATGCTTTTTTTTTTTACGAATGTATAGTTACAAATTGAAAAAGAAAATTAGATTTACGCATAAAACTATTTTATGACAAAATGTGTGGTTGAAAATGAGTTTTGAAAAAATGAGGCTCAAACAAATAAGTTATTATTCAAGCAAATTTATTGATTATGGGTGAGAAGGAATATAATTTGTGATTAAATGTTTAGAGGCATAAAAATGCGATGGGAGGAGTACCTACCTTGTGCTCCGAGGATGCCCAAGAGAGACCAGCTACCTTGTGATTCGAGGATGTCACACGCCCTATTGCAATAACACAAGCTTTCGAGTTTGATCGAAATATGTATATTAAGAAAGGAAATAAAATATAGAATGAAAATATGTAGTGTTTTAATTATATATCTTTTGCATAACAAGGCAATCTTGGGAATAAGTGTAGAAACAAAAGCCTTGTGTTTTATGTTGATATATTATAACGAGAACGAGACATAGTTTTATAGTGCAACGTTAGGCATTGTGGATAACTTGCTAATCAAATTATTCGATTCCTTTCGTACCAAATTAATTAACTTTACAATGTTACTTGTAACTTTGTCCAAACTCAATATTGTCACTTTCGTATTTTTATTGCTGCACTTTATTCTTTTCTTCCTGTTA